TGAGGTCACATTGCCCACCATTAAAAATCAGGGGTTTTCCAGTATTGCATGGTCAAATAAAAACCTGATGGTATTTCTCCTCATTCATAATTACACCAGTTTTGACAAGATCCCCAACACCACTGACTGAAAAGCAGGTCTAAACCACTTTTTTGAGAATGCACTGCACACAGTGCTAATATATGCAAGTTTTCCCCTCTTTGCGAATCACCCTGTTGGGGGAAAAATACAACTTTATATCTGTCAAGGCCGTGTTATCTTTGGCATTTTCGCAGCTTAAGAAATGAGAACAATTTCTGTGATTCTGCGACAGACTGCTATTACCCAAGTCTCTAAAAATACTATTTAAAATTGGTTCTTTGCTAACTTGTGTGTTATGTGCAGACATAATATTGGTCCATTGTTGCCCTTTTTATGCTTGAATGAATCATAGTTCAGTTTTAAGAGGCTTATCAAAGGGGAAAAAACCTTTCTCTGAAAATGGTCAAGTACAAGAACTGGGTAAAAAGGCAGCCAATGTGTAAAAGAAAAACTCTTAAAAACAAAACAAAAAAATCTGGAGAACTATTTCTCGAGATGTCTTGATGCATGCTCAATCATCCAGGTAAAAAAACTCCCAAAAAGATGATTTTGTTCATCTGGACATAGATGAACAGCCTGGGAAATGTTTCGTCACTCATCCAAGAGTGACGACTTCTCAAAACCACTTTAATGACAAGAAAGTCTGGGAACCTGGAAGCTAAATATAAAGAAATGAGGGGCAGCTCAAGACTTTTGCACAGAACTCTAAATCAAACAAAACCACAAAATGTTATAAAATAACTATGAAACATCCATTTTTTTCCTGTCTGAAAGTTTGCATTGACTAAAATACGTCTTTTACCACCATGCTGCTATTTTCTTCTCAAGGCTGCATTAAAGCTCTTTGGTAAGCGTTTCCTCTTCATATGTCCTTGCAACCTTGATAACCATCACTCCAGTGCCCTCCATATAAGTCAAGCATGAAATGTAGGCAGGAGAACTGAGATGGCAAAGACAAATAGCATTGTATGCATCACCTTGTCAGCATGACAGACAAATGAAGTCTCCTTCAAATATAAAAAGGATTAGTGAACATCTGCACTGACAACAAATATCCCTATTAAGTTCCACAAAAAAACAGCAACGCTGGCACTACATCACTTAGTTCTATGTTTTGATATTCTATGTTGCATTTTCTTGTGCAGGGGTTGTTGTCCAATGAGTTGCTTGGAATCCGTTGCTAATCATGGCTGCTGATTTGACAGAAGTCTGACCTCTCTCCACTGATTAAGGACTGTGCCATTTAAAACCGGATTGAAGAGCACTGTAGAGGTAGGTCGCCAGTTATTGTTATTAAAAGTCAGTCATACATCAACCATAACCTTTAGTGGCCAGTAAAGGTAATGAGGTTTGGATAAATCTGTACAATTAATATGCATTATATCCATTTAAATGTCTGCAAACAAAAGCTCCATTTTATTAAAGATATAATAGAGATGAACCAAAATTCTGAGTCAGAGTAAAAAATTTTGTTTTTGCTGTTATTTATTTCCTCTTTTGTGGCAAGGAAACAAATACATCTTCTTTTAAAAGGCTTTCATTTCTTCAGCACACTATCTTTGCACATCTAGTGCACAGCACTGTAGAGCTACAGTAATGTGCAAAAGGCTTATTTCTTCATATTTTGCTCCCAAGGAGCTAGACTCTCTTTTATTTATTTATTTTCTAAATAGCTCTCCTGGCCCTCTAGCCCTGTGGTATAAGCAGAAGAGGATGGATGGATGGATGGATGGATGGATCTCTCCAGGCTTCTACAGGTATGCCAAATTACACACAAATTGTACTGAAAATCATCAGGAGAGAGGTACAACAGTGTCTACAGTCATCTGTAAAACACAACGGAGGCTCTGGTGAGGTTTTGGGATGCTTTACATTCAGTGCTATTGAGCATCTTCTCAAATTTGATGGAATTATGAAGGCAAAAACGTGCGATTCGATTTGATCCATTATGCAATACCATCTGGAAAGCATGTAATTGGCAACAACTTCATTTTCCAGCATGAAAATGGTTCCCAGTACAAGGTCAATGCATTTAAAGCATACCTGGATAGAAAAACACAGTTAAAGACTATCAGTCATGGATCGGTCTCCCCAGAGCCCAGACCTTATTGAAGCAAGTGGGATCATCTTGATAGAGGACAGAACAAAAGCAGCCAACATCCAAAGAAGAGCTCTGAATGTTCTTTAAGAACCCCGGAGAACTTTTCCTGAAGACTGCTTAAAGAAATGACAGGGAAGCTTGCCTAAGAGAGTTGCGGCAGTGTTGAAGAATAATTGGGTCGTACCAAATATTGGTTTTTTAACCTCATTAGGATTGCACAAACTCTTGCCTTATATACTGTATTGCCATGTATATTTGTAGTGTTTTCCCATTTTATATAAAGAAATGAGGGGTGGCTCTTTACTTTTGCAGAGCAGTGTAGGTCACATGTTATTCTTATTAAAATTCATTGGTACATCAACCATAACCTCAGCTGCCAGTAAATGTGTTGACCTTTCAGATAAATCTATCAAATCAGCCTTGATAGATTTATCTATCAAGTCGGTATATCTCATTTATATCCATCCAACTGTTTGGAAGCAGAAGCTCAATTTCTCTCAGCTAAACAAAACTTCTGCTGCCCTTCAGTAAGCCTCCCAACCTCTCAAACCTACATCATATTGAGCATGATGAGCAATTTAAAGCTGCCAACATTCGCAAAATTGCCATATTTCTACATTAGTGTATTGTTTGACTTCTTCAACTGCGTTAAACAAGTGCAATCTTTGGCTTAAATGAACAGCAGTCAACAATATTAACACTAATCATGGCTCACCAATAGCAAACAATCACACTGCCACTCCAGATGGCTGTCCATTCGACTAAAAGCCTCTAATTGTGAAGTCCTTATCACAAGACTGGGGCTAAAATTAAGATGCATAAAACTCATTAAGGCTGACACTCCAAACAAAGCACAAAAGCGTCTTACATATCCATCCACAGAACCCACGGGTGCAGTCATGTGCTTTGTCCAGACAGACAGGCAGGACCCCAAACAATGTGTGAGAGTCAGCCCCAGTAACCAAAGAGAGGAGGTGATGTATTGCACGCTGACATGGAACAATGCAGTCTGTTTTACCTGAAGGCGAATCTTTCTACCCCATCAATTTGTTTCAGTGGACAGAGGCACCCTGTGACATCCTCCATGCAGTGTTTGTTAGCCGCTATCTCAGAAGACACCTGCTGTCTTTGAGCAATGACAAAAGGTAAGTAAACCGTATCTTCAAGGCAACACAAAGAGATTTCTAATAATCACAAGACATTTTTTTCTGCCACTTTCTTCATGACAGCTGAATGCTTTCGTGTCCCTTTTAATCTGACTGTGGATTTTTTAAACATGTCAGACTGACAGCAACGGTGACGAAGGGGTTCGGTTGCAAATATAGCTGCCAGGCTGACCAATATGACTATGGCTGTTGTTCAAACACAGATGAAACGTTAACACTGTCGATTAACCTCCATTTCCTCCTCTAACAAGCTCCCTTTTGTGACTAAGGTTACAGCTTAACTCATTTTTGAAGCAGATGGACAAAAAAAATAAATCCCTTTACAATAGCACAATTTTTAACTGGGATATGATTAATTGAGGGACTAGTCCGGGGTTTATTTTTAACTCACTGAGCCTTGAAACAAGTCGACCCGCGGCACCACGGCTCTCTGCTCTTCCTGTACATTCATTATGCCAGCCTACCAGGGAGTATTATGTCTTGTAACAGCTGACTGTGAGTTGACACTGTGAGGCTTAGGGAGCCTTAGAAACTCTGCTTGGGGCACACTCCCGGTGTAGAGACTGAGGTCTGTCTGACATGTGTGACTCCTGAGGCAAGCGTGTTGCTAAATGAACAGAGACAGGGACAATGGCATGACCCACTTCTATCAGGACTACCCTGTTTTCTTTATCAAAAATATATATATATATATGTTTGTATCCCACAGGTACGGCTCTGCACTGATGGTGGAAAATATATAGCGGCCAAAAGCTTAAACATCCCCATCACCAGAGGACAGGAAGGGCAAAAGGGGGGAGGATGTAAATGATTGGAACGGTGATTCAGGGAGTCAGGTTAATCTATAAGCTTTCAGCAGTTTTCTCTCTGCATAAAGCAGTGTGACATGTTTTGGTAAGACTCTACATTAGACTTCAATGTCCATTTACCCTACTTGTAATATTGGCTGGTTAATAATGATAAGGCAACTATTACAGGATATATATCACCTCTAGATTTGTCTAGTCACCACGCAAGAAATCTTTCTATTCCGTTTTTTTTCTTCTTTTTATATTGGTTATTAAAAAAAGGGAAAATAAGGGGAGAAAGATGCCTTTGTCCCTCTGCATTAATTAACGAGAGCTAAACCTGGACCCTCAGCTTCTTTTACCCCATGTAAGCTTCGCACATAAGCCAAGCAAGCAGCTGAAGATGGTCACTGTGAGGGCGCACGAAACACTGGAGCTGTGCACATTTGCCTTAATTGTGCGCAGTCTCATGTGGCCCTTTATCAAAGAGCAATTACACACAGATAAAATACACAATCGGCCGCTTGTATACTCAAACAGGTCTCCTCTGAACACAATCAAACCAATTAACTAACGAGTCGTGCACGGATTTAAAAAAAAAACGTGCCGAGATTGCTCCGTTTCCCGCGAACAATACAGTGTTGAACCGTTCATGTGGGATACCCCCACTCCCCACGATCCTCTTTGAATAATCACCAGCACTTTGTCACTTTCAGTAGAATATGTAAATATGCCAAAGGATTCTGATCGATCCCCTGTTCGGTGATGCTCCCACGCTAAAGAACTATTTGTGTGGGGAAAAAGAAAAGAAAAGAAAAGAAAATGTGACAATGATTATTTTTGCCTGTCACTTGTTCCGCTCACCTTTCACACGCTGTGGGACAGCGGCGCTCAAGCACAGGGCGACGGAAAGGAGTAGCGGTCCCATCCTCTCACAATAATCAGGTCCGACTTCCAAGGTTACGGAGCTGTGGGTAAAATCGCGTGGCAATAGCCCAAACTTCTCCTTCCTTTGCTCCGGCTGGACTGTGAGGGTTACCCTGAGAGCTGTTGCTATATGACTATGTCCTCTCAGGTAAAGTCTTGCGCTGTGATAAAGTCGGCAGAGAGGGAGACACAGAGAGACAGAGTGAGAGACTCGCCACCTGGATTTTGTCCTGCAGGAACAAGTGAACTGTGCCTGCCGGGCACTCCTCTGCTGCTGCCTCCGCGCTCCTACCGCAGTGGTGCGATGTAGTGGAGAGAGCGACGTGTGCGCTCACTCGGTGCTGCCGGACGACTACTGTCAAACCTCCCAGAGTCAGAAGAATTATCACTTCCGCTATACACATACAAAATAAAACTAGAAGTGATGACTTTTAATTTGAACTGCGCTTCATTTGATGTCTCGTGTATTCAAATAAATAAATAAATAATAATTAGAATAAAAAAAAAAAACAAATAGTACCATGTTTTTCGCCGACTTTTATTTTCTTATTTTTAATTCTCTCTCTCTTTCTGATATCATGTCATGTAGAGTTTAAGCCAATGCCTGTTTACGCAGTTAGTTGTATTTATAAAGTTATTTTTAGAAATATTAAAAATTAAGTTATAAAGCTATTTTTTAAAGGATAAATAAGTTTTGTTTTGTTTTTTTAATTTCCTTACTATTTTTTTTATTGTTTTAAAGGTGCAGTCACACAGTCAAAACGTTATACAGCTTGGACCACAGTCACTTTGGTCCTTTGGTCACTCGGAGGATGCTTCATGGTAGGCTTTATTGGTGGAGCAAACTCTTCCTCCTCCCACTCCCACCGCCCGAAAAAAAAAAAAAATAATAATAGAGAGAGAGCTTTAAAATAATTCTTCCAAAAGTCAGAACTTGCTAGAAATTTAAATTGCGCATAATCAGCCTCTCCCAAACTCCTTATTTCACTCTCAGATTTCTGCCTCCGGAAGTTGGATGCTCAGCAATTAATTTAGTAGTTTCAAAAGTATTTTTCTGGAAAGCCTTGATGAGTTTTAGTATCCTCAACAAAAAGATTAAATTGGAAAATTCTTTATCGCATTAGGATACTGGCCGTAATGTTCTATGAACAATTTTCATTTTGTAGATTCTCCTGTTGTTTCTAGGAGAGAGAGAAAGATGGCACTGACTGAACAGCATCTCTGAAACAGAGTTTAACGAACATCTAATTAACGCATATTAATTTACACAAACCACAACTTCCCTGCTTACAGCGAGTTTCCAGTTTACAAGCCATTTCCATCCTTCAACTGAAGATCTTACTGAAACATAAACTTTAATAAGTAACCTACAATAACGCATCCATGCTTTTTCACAGCGTGTGCAGACTGTTTATGCATACTGAACGTATACAGGTGTCTCACTGGGGTGTGACATTCTCAAAATTAGATTATTTCTCAAGAGGGTGGCACCACACTGATTGTTCCTTTGTGCCACGTGTGATATTTCGCCCACCTCTGATTGGATTTTCATGAATCTGGGTTGAGTTAAATTAATGTGACAATTGCACTTTGCCAATTATAAACTGACACTGATTAACTCATGGTGAGAACTGTGATTATGGGCCCCGACCAACTCCCCCCATATATTTGTTCAACATAGCTATCTTACTCCTCAATAACATTTTTGATCTGTTTTCTAAGAAATAATAATAGTATTTAAAGACATTTTCTGCAATAGCAAGAGCATACTGGCTGCAGACATTACAATGACATGTTCTCCTTACATGAATAACTGATCCATGAATAAATGCACTGTTTCATTTCATATTTGTGACCATTGCCATTTCTGCACATCTGAGAGAGAAGTTTCCAGAACGAAAGAAAGAAAAGTAGCAGGACTCTGACTTTAAGTCGATGTCTTTACCCAACAGTCTGACCTTGAGATGCTTTCAGGCTCCTCATTATGAATCATGAAAGATATCAGGTGTCTTATGGTTTAATGTAGATAGAGACCTATAACTGTATGCACTTGGTCAAGACTAATAAATCATCCACAGTGGCCACAGTAAAGTCTGCTATCATGATAATGAGAAGCTGCCCTCTATTCCAAAGAGCACCTCCCACTGTGTCAGATTTCCAGACTTGTCTCCATTGCACGTGATACTTGGTGGAATAGCACATCCCTCTCCCTCAAAGTATGATCATGTTGGAACATCTGCGTACCATTATATTTAAAAAAGCATTGGTTTTCATGAATCCACTGACAAGGGCAAAGAAGGCAAAGAAGGGATGCGACACATCCCTAAAAAAAATTATCCAGTGGCTGCTGATGTTCCTTAGCTGTAATTGTGATCATAAAATTAAATTAGAACAACTGTTGATGCTGTCTAGTCATTGTGTTAAGGACACATTGGTTAACAGATGTGAATTTGTTAAATTGTCCTGCTCATTGTTCTATTTGCCTTTTTCTTTAGTTCTGATTATATTGAAGGGGAAAAGTGCGGTTTGTGCTATGATAATATCAAACCTGCCCATGTAACAGCACCTAACTCTGTCTTTAGAAGGATATATCAGTAAGTCCAGCAACAAGGAGACCCCATGCTGTGTTACAGACTTCAGTATGATACTGGAGTCCTAGTTCCTTTTTTCTCCTCGTTGGTTGTTATCTTTGTTCTTTATTTTTCATGTCCCTGTGTTGAATTATTTTGTGTGGAGTTCTTTCACATAATCCTACAAGACTTGTCTATAACAGCTCACAAACTTTCTTCTGTATTTTCTTCACTTTGTTCACTTTTGCCTAATGTTGCCTAAGTTTTCTTCCTTCACTCTGAACAAGCAGGAAAGTCAATATTAACTAAAATCACCAGGTACCATTCAACCTCGCTTACACTGGAGCAAGGGCCACAGTCAGGTGCCTACCCTTTGAGCTCTGTTTGCCTTACAAGAGCAACACTACAGAATACTGCTGTGCAACCATCAATGTTGACAGTAAAGACTGAACGACCCATAGTTCAACCTACATCCTGCAAACTGCTTCACCCTGCTGAGATGGCTCCAGAACAACACAACACAGCAGCAACTCTGACTGCAACCAAGCAGGCAAACAAACTAAATTTAGTTGTTTTATGACCAAAGTCAATGTCTTTATTGTTCTAGACAAGAACATTTTGTGATTGCAGACATCTGGTAAAACATGTGGTTGTAATGCTTATTTTATGCTTAAGCGGAGGTAACATGAAGGCAGTCTGGGGGCAGTAGCAGGCTGACAGTGTACCTGCAGTGTTTGTTGTCGATGAAAGCAGTGTACAAAATATGTGGTACAACCAGACTGTTGGCTACTCTTGCCTGTGCTGTTGGTGGTCTGTCTGCCAGCTGCAGAGAAGAGCAAAGTTATGCTGTGATATTTGATCTTTGAAGATTTTTTTTAAAGTTCTCCCACTCCTGGCAAACTCCACTGCTACGCCCTTTCCTATTCAGGTCAATCAATAGGCATAGGTCATCTGTGTCCAGCAATGTGCATTTGGGATTTTTGGAGGACTGCACCTCACTGTGCACACGTAAATGTGTATGCAGACAGACATATTTGCAGGACCATAAATTAGGTTTAGGAAATGGCACAGGTCTAGCGAAGCACAACTCCAATAATGGACATTCCTACATATGAAAAACACAGGATCCACTTCTATTTTATATTGCTACACCAAAGCACTGCACTGGTCCCTTTAAAATAGTACCTGTCCATCCAGCCCTCCAAGATCACATCCCGTCCTCTCAATCTTTGACTCTAGATTTCATGCTTTTGCACTGATAATGTCATTATAAATAAAGGTATCGGTAAAATGTGTGAGGTAAAGCCTTTATTTGTAGTCAGAAAAACAAAATATGTCATCTAAAAAATATAAAACTTTAACACCTGACTAAAAAGCATGCATCTGCGATCATTAAACGCATCATTAGTTTTGTGTATGCCCTGTAGGAAAAAGTAAAAGAATTGAGTAACAAAGAGAAGATCAAAGAAGATTGTCCACTGGCACCAGGGCTCGCTGCTAAATCTCCACGCTAAGTACCGACCTCTTGACCTCCTCCCAGTGTCCTCTCACAGCTTAGAAACAGATCACAGCAGCCACAAGTGTATTCTGTAAATCCTTCACACTCGCATATCTAAACCTAGACATGGTCAGTCCTTCTTCAAACTCAACTCCGTTTGCCTCCTTTGCCCTTGTCTTTCCCTCGGCTTGTCGAAACACAGAGCACAGATCAGTGAATTGTCTTCAGCTCGCATCCATCCTCATTTAGACCGTGGGGACCCATTTAGGGTGAGCAACGGGCTGGAAAACAAAGTGACCTTCTCATATTTGACTCATTTACTGCTGTTTTTGTTTTAGCCACTAAAACGAGTTCCATGTTTTCATTTCTAGAAAAAAAACTAAGAGCTGAAGACGGGTGTTCACTATTTCTCTTCCAGCAATGTTTCATTTGGGGCATACAGAGTTTTTGCTTTTATTCAGTTGGAGAGGCAGCCGTAGCACCTTTAGGATGCAGAAATCCTTTTGAATTGGAACTTAATAGGTAAAAAATCTATGAATTTTGACCAAGCATGTACTATTAGCATGAAAATTTATTATCTGGTATGCCCTCAGCATTTCTCTTAGCACAATTTTAATGAGGTTAACTTTCTTAAAACTATAGATAACCACTTTTTTCGTCCTTGCCTGCCTGTCTTTTCATTAGCATGCTCCCTTTCCTTTTCATTCCCTCAGTCTCTCACAGGAGGCGAGCGGTTTTTCATATCCACTCGGTCCCTCTCTCATCTCCCATTTCTCCAGTTTCTTCTGCCATCCTTTTCCCATTCAAACTGCTTGACTTGTGTTCAAGGCCCCCGTCTCTCTTTTTCTGCACTCGCCACAAAGACAGTCTAACAAAGGCCTAAGGCAGAGAAGAAGAGAATGAGAGGCAGGGAAGTGAAAGAGGTGGTGGATGTTGCGGGGTGAGGGGTGGGTGGGAGGATGGTTATGGCATGGAGCAGTATGGAAACGGCGAGATAGTAAAGGAGATGGATGAAGAAAGTGGCAGAGACACAGAGCGAGGGGCAGCTTGAGACTGTGAGGAAGGCAAGTAACACTAAATTAGATGCTCTTGCAGAAGAGACAGTGTATTAATTCCAAAGAGAATATTGCATTGTGTCTTCTTTTTCTTTCCTCTCTCAGCACTGGGACAGAGCGGAGTTATGTTCCCCCAGCAGGCTTCTCTGTTTCTCTTTCCTCTCTTCTTCTAGTCCCTCACTCCTGATACCATTGGCACAAGCATACTTTCCTTCTCTTTGTCATTGTGCTTATTATTATA